TTGAATATGTAAACTTGACGAAATGAACTTGATGACACATACTGTATGACAACATAACAAGTTAGTGATAAAATTGAATATGTAACCTTGATTAAATCAACACGATGAGATATACTATATGACAAAGTAACAAGTTAGCAATGAAATTGAATATGTAAACTTGACGAAATGAACTTGATGACACATACTGTATGACAACATAACTAGTTAGTGATAAAATTGAATATGTAACCTTGATAAAATCGACACAATGACATATACTGTATGACAAAGTAACTAGTTAGTGATGAAATTGAATATGTAACCTTGCTAAAATCAAAACAATGACATATACTGTATGACAAAGTAACAAGTTAGTGATAAAAATGAATATGTAACCTTGACGAAATCAACACAATGACATATACTGTATGACAAAGTAACAAGTTAGTGATAAAACTGAATATGTAACCTTGACGAAATCAACACGATGACATATACTGTATGACAAAGTAACAAGTTAGTGATAAAACTGAATATGTAACCTTGACGAAATCAACACGATGACATATACTGTATGACAAAGTAACATGTTAGTGATAAAATTGAATATGTAACCTTGATGAAATCAACACAATGACATATACGGTATGATAAAGTAACCAGTTAGTGATAAAATTGAATATGTAACCTTGATTAAATCAACATGATGACATATACTGTATGACAAAGTATCCAGTTAGTGATAAAATTGAATATGTAACCTTGATTAAATCAACAGTTTTTTGTCTATGATATAGTTTAAAGTTAGATTATATATAAATAATTACAAAGAATAACATCAGGTACTATGTTTTTTGTTTATGGTTCCTTGATGTCTGTATTAATTATCATTCCAAAATCACTTTTGGCTAAAACATGATTCCAAATGTACAGTTTCAAGTGTGTTTACAATGTATCATTGTCAGTGGCTGTTAAAGTAAAAAAAAAACAGCCTTAATTCAGTCATGTTTCAATTTAACTTATGTATACGTGTATCTAACATAAATTTCAGTGTATTACTTGCATAGCTTGTTAATATTTAACTACTGTTCAATGGTACATTTGAATTCCTGTTATAGGAACTGGTCCATTATTGTTTGAATGTTGACATGTTGATCTTGGGAAAATGAATTACAGCTGTCCCAATTTGTTATATGTAACATGGTTTTTGAATTCTTGACTTATTCACCTTTTCTTCATAAATATAAGCAACACAACATTGGGAATATTTTATTGTTGTTGGTTCACTTTTCAAGTTTCACAGAACTTTTATACAAATTATTTTAATACTGAAGTTTGCTTAACCCTTTCCAAATGGGTCACGATTGAAAGGCCATGTCATCGTGATTGTTGACTCGCATTCAAAATTTTATTGAACTACTATTTCAGGAATTTATGTCAGTAAGTTTGGTATCAAACTGTAGATCATAATTCATATTTTAGTATTATACCTTACTCAATTTCTTAATTTAAAAATAATTGTATGATAATTGTTTATTGATAATCTGCCAAATTTCTTTAACGTATGCTTACTCATTTAAAAGTTATAGCATAAAAATTATAACGAGCACAAAATGTTTACAAGGTTGGTCCCAGGGACCAAACTTGTACTGAAAGAGTTAAGCTTTATGCAAATATTTTTTTCTTTTAACATTTAACACAGAATTTGTTCTAAGTGTGTGATTTTTGTAAACTAACTTGACCCTAATTTACATATGAACAAAACTTTATTGATTCAATATGCTGTAATTTGTGTGTAAGTTTGATTCATTAATATCAGCTAATGTGGTTATGAGAATCCTAAAATAATCTTTCAATTATAATCAATATTATTAATACTGATCAGGAAATGACAACTGCACGTTTCTCAGAACCTTTTTTTAAGAATAACAGAAATAAAAAAAAACAAAACATGCAGTCTAGAATTACTTTTATCATGTAATAGACTAATTTGTTACATTACCTTGCCAGCTTTAACACCATAATAATAAAATGTTTAGACTGTACATAAATAACATATGGACTTTTGGCTACTATCATTGTTCAACCCAGCTGATGATTTTTGGTATTTAACAAAAATCATCATGGGCATTGACTTGTAACAGAAAAAAAAAAATCTAACTTGAAATTCATAATGAATTTAGAAGATTATGGAAAACAACTCATGGGTAGAGTAATTTTTATCATGAATTATATTTTTGTTGTCACTGTTATCTTTAAAACTTTTATTAAAACCATCTGAAACAGTAGTAATAAATACTTCCTTAGAAGTACAATTATTATTTATTTGTTGATAATATACATATTAAAATGTACTGCTGTATTATTTTTCTCTTGTCAGTCTGTCACTGGTATTGATTCTCAAGAAGATAACAATAGCCACTGGGTTGTGAAAGGAAAGATAGGACAACCTTGTAGGAGAGGGTGAGGTTACTTTCTTAAGTATGTGGTTTCATCAAGGTTAGATGTTTAATTTTATCACTAACTGGTTACTTTGTCATACAGTATATGTCATCGAGTACCTGATGATATTCTTT